AAAACCTGGGCACAGTGGCTGACACCTATAATCCCAGCACTTCAGGAGGCCAAGGCAGGCGGATGACCTGAGGTTGGGAGTTGGAGACCAGCCTGACCAACATAGAGAAACCCCGTCTCTACTAAAAATACAAAATTAGCTGGGCGTGGTGACATATGCCTGTAATCCCAGCCACTCGTGAGGCTGAGGCAGGAGAATCACTTGAACCCGGAGCAGGAGGTTGCAGTGAGCCGAGATCACACCATTGCACTTCAGCCTGAGCAATAAAAACAAAACTCCATCTCTTTTTATTTATTTATTTATTTTAAAGATGGGGTTTCACCATATTGGTCAGGCTGGTCTCAAACTCCTGACCTCAGGTGATCCGCCCACCTCAGTTTCCCAGAGTGCTGGGATTACAGGCGTGAGCCACCGAGCCCGGCCACAAAACTCCATCTCATAAAAAAAATAAATAAAGAAAAAAAAGACCGAGCGCGGTGACTCACACCTGTAACCCCAGCACTTTGGGAAGTCGAAGCAGACAGATCACCTGAGGTCAAGAGTTCAAGACAGCCTAGCCAACATGACGAAAACCTTTCTCTACTAAAAATACAAATATTAGCCTGGCATGGTGGCATGTGCCTGTAATCCCAACTACTCAGGATGCTGAGGCAGAAGAATCACTTGAACCCAGGAGATGGAGGTTGCAGTGAGCAGAGATCATTGTGCCACTGCACTCCAGCCTTGGGCAACAAAGACTCCGTTGCAAAAAAAGAAAAGGCTGATTGTTATTTTTCTCAACTAGTACAGACATTGTATACACAATAATTACATCAGATATAGCACCATTTTTTTTTAAATAACTGATGAGTAGGAATACCCCAGTATGAAGTTCTTTCAACAAAGAATATTTTTAAAATTCATAGAATTCACTAATGCTATGCTACTTTATCTCAGCAAAGGAAATTTCTTACTAATACAGTTCGCATACAGTTCTCATTCATTCATTTTCCTTTTTTTTTTTTGAGACAGAGTCTCGCTTTGTTGCCTAGGCTGGAGTGCAGTGGTGCTCTCTTGGCTTGCTGCAACCTCCACCTCCCTAGTTCAAGCAATTCTTCAGCCTCAGCCTCCCAAGTAGCTGGCATTACAGGCACCCACCACCACTCCCTGCTAATTTTAAAAAAAATTTTAGTAGAGACAGGGTTTCACCATATTGGCCAGACTGGTCTAGAACTCCTGACCTCAGGCAATCTTCCCACCTCAGCCTCTCAAACTGCTGGGATTACAGGCGTGAGCCACTGCGCCTGGCCATTCATTCATTTTCTTCCCTCTTCCCAACCTGAAATTACACATAAAAGATGTTAGGAAACAGACATGTTTACCAGCATCACCAGCATAATTCAGTAGGGCAGATACTAGTACTGAGAGGATGGTAGAATTAATAGAGAAATATATATTTGTATTCCTTTTTGATGATTGCTTTCTTAGCCCACTTTATTACTAAAACAGTGGGCTTTATTACTTAGCCCATTTTTTTTACTAACTCTTTTGTGTTACTAAAAAGAATTAAGGAAAAAACAAAATAGAGAAATAAGCACAGATTGTGACTAGCAAGAGTAGTGAAAGCTTTAAAAGGATTCAAGTGGTGTCATCTGTGTTGTTTTCTTGTAGGCTAGAAACGAAAGCCTCAGCAACACGTTAGTGGAACTTTCTGCTCAGGTAGGACAGTTACAAGCTCGAGAACAAGCTCTCACGACAATGATAAAGCTAAAGGTAATCAAAAAGAAGAATTCCTCCATTTGCCAGAGTGCTTGGTAGTTTATATTCATATTCATTATCTTACCTAAGTCCCTAGCATCCCAGAAAAGGGAAGCTACCAGTGTTGCTCTTGTTGGTTTTCTTTGTTTTGTTTTCTTTTGTTTTGAGATGGAGTCTCACACTGTTGCCCAGGCTGGAGTGCAGTGGTGCAATCTCAGCTCACTGCAACCTCCATCTCCTGAGTTCAAGCAATTCTCCTGCCTCAGCGTCCCTAGTAGCTGGGACTACAGGTGTGCGCCACCACGCCCAGCTAAATCTTGGATTTTCAGTAGAGACAGGGTTTCACCATGTTGGCCAGGGTGGTCTTGATCTCCTGACCTTGTGATCTGGCCACCTTAGCCTCCCAAAGTGCTGGGATTACAGGCGTGAGCCACTGCACCTGGCTGCTCTTGTTTTTTTAAAAACACCCATTTAGAAATGAAGGAAACAAGTTTAAAATGATGTTTCCAAGGCATGAAGAAGGAGGCTGCTTCTGGTCTTCTATCTCCAAGGCCCATTTCATGGGCTAGCATATCTGAATTAACTTGTTTTCTCCCTGGGTACCTATTATTAGGTCTCATAGAGTTATTGGCAATTAGATTGTGTGATGATTTGTGTGTGTGTGTGTGTGTGTGTGTGTGAGAGAGAGAGAGAGAGAGACAGAGACAGAGTTTTGCTCTCATTGTCCAGGTTAGAGTGCAATGACACGATCTTGGCTCACCATAACTGCCTCCTGGGTTCAAGCGATTCTCCTGCCTCAGCCTCCTAAGTAGCTGGGATCACAGGCATATGCCACCACACCTGGCTAATTTTGTATTTTTAATAGAGACGGGGTTTTACCATGCTGCCCAGGCTGGTCTCAAACTGCTGGCCTCAGGTGATCCACCTGCCTCAGCCTCCCAAAGTGCTGGGATTATAGGCATGAGCCACTGCGCAAGGCTGATTTTTTTTTTAGTGGCAAGAAAAACCATTCGCAAGCAAGCAGTTGATATAGTCACCAACATGCAATATACAACGATACAGTCTCCTGCCGTAACGTGTCTTTAACAATTGGTATTTAGGGGAACGATGTTGGTATAAAGAAATGCTCACACTAATAAATATGTGATTTTTCTCAGTACATTGTTTTGAAGTGATTGAGGCAAGTGCTCTTAAAATTAAAGAGAAAATATTAAAATCTACAGTCATGTCTTTAGTCAAGTAGTAGTCAGTTTCGTGGCTTCATCAACCTCTCCGGTTTGCATCACAGCAAACTCTGGCAAAGCTGTGAGTATGACTGAAGGTGCTGCCAAGGCAATTCCCCCCCATTGAAACAGTGGGTGTGTTAGGAAGGCTGTGCTCCTGGAGGCCGGGCGCGGTGGCTCATGCCTGTCATCCCAGCACTTTGGGAGGCTGAGGCAGGTGGATCACTTGAGGTCAGGAGTTGAAGACCAGCCTGGCCAACATGGTGAAATGCCTGTCTCTACTAAAAATACAAAAAAGTTAGCCAGGGGTAGTGGTACTCGCCTGCAATCCCTGGTACTCGCCTGCAATCCCAGCTACTCTGGAGGCTGAGGTGGGAGGATTGCTGGAAGCTGGGAGGTGGAGGTTGCAGTGAGCCAATATTGTGCCACTGCACTCCAGCTTGGACAACACAGCGAAACCCTGTCTCAAAAAAAAAAAAGAAAAAAAAGAAGAAGAAGAAGACCAGGCTCATGTCTGTAATCTCAGCCCTTTGGGAGTCCAAGGGGGGCAGATCATGAGGTCAAAAAGTTGAGACCATCCTGGCTAACATGGTGAAACTAAAAATACAAAAATTAGCTGGGCATGGTGGCGCAGACCTGTAGTCCCAGCTACTCGGGAGGCTGAGACAGGAGAATCACTTGAACCCTGGACGTGGAGGTGGCAGTAAGCCGAGATCACACCACTGCACTCCAGCATGGAGATGGCAAGATTCTGTCTCAAAAAAAAAAAAAAAAAAAAAAAAAAAAAAAAAAAAAAAAAAAAAAAAAAAAAAAAAAAAAAAAAAAAAAGCTGTGTTCCTACCTAGAGATTTTCTTTGACGAAAACAGTTTCCATTAGAGGCAGATGCCCTCCAGGACATCCTTATCAAAGGGGGAAGTAGGAGCCCCAGGTTTAAGGCTGAGAGAGATTGACTGTCATAGGTCTCTCCTGGCATTAACTGCACTGTGTTCCAGTACTTATCAGGACTTTTATTTTTTGATACTGGCCTGGTCACAAAATTCCATGGGTTTTTTCATGGCCTGCCCCAACCCGATTGTTCTAGAAGTCCTCCTAGTGTGAGACGTGCAGACAATGTGGGTTTTCAGGAGTACGTTAGTGATGCTGTACCGGAAACACTTATACCGTAGCAGGGGGAAAACCTCTTAATAAAGAGTTATTCCAGGTGAGTGGAGAAGGGATAGAAATTTTACTTACTTTTATACTTTTAGGTGTTGTTTGAGTTGCTTTTCAAGAAGCAGATACCTTTTTTTGTAACTAAAACCGCCTCAACAATGAAGAGATTCTAATGTGGTAGGTTTGGGATGCTGTCGTGGAGTCTGTCGTTTTAACAAACTGGAAAATGTGGGGGGAATTGTGGGCCACTAGACTTCCCTGTAATCCAGAGGATGACTTTCCCATCCAGGGCCCACCAACCCTCTTGTTGCTATTATAGTGTCTTAGGTAATAGAACGGTCTGGCTCTAACTTTCTGAGACAGTAAGGGATAGTGGCTCAGTACACAGTGTGTGAGGCAGCCAGCCAGGTTCAAATGGTGGCTCCACCACTGACTAGTTGTGTGACCATGGGCAAGGAACTAGCCTGTCTGTTGACTCATCTGTCACTTGGCAAGAACAATGGTACCTCCCTCACAGAGTTACTGTAAAGAGTAAGTGAGTTAGCCTCTCCTTCCGGCTGGAACCGTGGAGGGTGTAGAAGAGAAGAAGAAGAAGGTCCCTGCTGTGCCAGAAACCCTTAAGAAAAAGCGAAGGAATTTCGCAGAGCTGAACATCAAGCCCCTGAGAAAGAAGCTTGCCCAAAAGATGCTTCGAAAGGCAAGGAGGAAGCTTATCTATGAAAAAGCAAAGCGCTATCACAAGGAATATAGGCAGGTGTACAGAGCTGAAATTCGAATGGCGAGGATGGCAAGGAAAGCTGGCAACTTCTGTGTACCTGCAGAACCCAAATGGGCGTTTGTCATCAGGATCAGAGGTATCGATGGTGTGAGCCCAAAGGTCCGAAAGGTGTTGCAGCTTCTTCGCCTTCGTCAGATCTTCAGTGGAGCCTTTGTGAAGCTCAACAAGGCTTCAGTGAACATGCTGAGGATTGTAGAGCCATATATTGCATGGGGGAACCCAAATCTGAAGTCAGTAAATGAACTAATCTACAAACGTGGTTATGGCAAAATCAAAAAAGAAGCAAATTGCATTGACAGATAATGCTCTGATTGCTGGATCTCCTGGTAAACATGGCATCATCTGCATGGAAGATCTGATTCATGAGATCTATACTGTTGGAAAATGCTTCAAAGAAGCAAACAACTTCCTGTGGCCCTTCATATTATCTTCTTCACGAGGCAGAATATAGAAAAAGACCACCCATTTTGTAGAAGGTGGGGATGCTGGCCACAGGGAGGATCAGATCAACAGGCTTATTAGAAGAATGAACTAAGGTGTCTACCATGATTATTTTTCTAAGCTGGTCAGTTAATAAACAGCACCTGCTCTCAATTGAAAAAAAAACAAGATTAAGTGAGTTAATATGTGAAAAATACTTAGAATGGAACCTGGTTCACAATAAGAGCTTAGTAAGGGTTATCTTTTCTTCTTGGTTAATTGGAATTTAAGAATCTAGGATAACCGTTTTCAAATTTTGTTTTTAGGACAAAGATATTATTGAGGCAGTCAATCACATTTCAGACTGTTCGAGTAAGTTTAAACTGCTAGAGCATGCTCTGCGTGATGCCAAGATGGTGGAGACTTGTATTGTGAAAGAAAAGCAAGATTATAAGCAGAAATTGAAGGCACTTAAGATTGAAGTTAATAAACTAAAAGGTAAGGAAGAGACCTACATTTCAGATACTAATGTATTATCTTGGAAATACATTTCTTTTTTTTTTTTTTTTTTTTTTGAGACAGAGTCTTGCTCTATAGCCCAGGCTGGTGTGCAGTAGCACAATCTTGGCTCACTGCAACCTCTGTCTCCCAGGTGTAAGCGATTCCCCTGCCTCAGCCTCCTGAGTAGCTGGGACTACAGGCATGCACCACCACACCTGGCTAATTTTTTGTATTTTTGTAGAGATGAGGTTTCACTATGGACAGGATGGTCTTGATCTCCTGACCGCATGTTCTGCCCTCCTCGGCCTCCCAAAGTGCTGGGATTACAGGCATGAGCCACCACAGCCGGCTGGAAATACATTTCTTCATTTGGGTTCATTTAATCTTATGCTTGAGAATAGATCGATTTCTAGCCTGAGGAATTTTATTTATATAGACCTTATCCATTTCATTTATATAGAATTATGCTCCAATTTTTATCTTATAAATAACAGAGTTGGGGAAAACTGCACAGTGTATCATACTGTAAAGTCATCCTGCCTTAGTTGAGGTACTTCTACCATTATTGATTGCAAATACGTGCTTTGTGGCAGACAACATCAGTATCTCAGCGGCAGAGAGTCCTAGCATTTATTAAACCCATGCATCTAGAGGCGAATGGGAGTTGGCTGACTGCAGTTGGCCCTGAGCTGCTCGTCTGGGCAGTTCTGCCTCACACGTTTCATCTTCTCCTTGCCAGCAGGCTAGCCTGGGCATTTCTTCCCACAGTGAGGGCAGAAACTTGTGATTCTGAAATTATAAATTTTTATTTTTGCCGATTTGTTTATTTTTGACAGAACCTCACTCTGTCACCCAGGCTGGAGTGTGGTGGCGCAATCTTGGCTCACTGCAACCTCTGCCTCCCAGATTTAAGCTATTCTTTTGTCTCAGCTTCCCAAGTAGCTGGGATTACAGGCATCCACCACCAGGCCCATCTAATTTTTTTATGTTTAGTAGAGACTGGGTTTCACCATCTTGGCCAAGCTGATCTTGAACTCCTGACCTCGTGATCCATCCACCTCAGACTCCCAAAGTGCTGGGATTACAGGTGTGAGCCACTGTGCCCAGCCTTCTCTTTTCTTTCTTTCTTTCTTTCTTTTTTTTTTTTTTTTTTTGAGACGAAATCTCGCCCTTTTGTCCAGGTTGAGTGCAGTGACGTGATCTCAGCTCACTGCGACTTCCGCCACCTGGGTTCAAGCAATTCTCCTACCTCAGCCTCTTGAGTAGCTGGGATTGCAGGTGTGCGCTACCACACCCAGCTGATTTTTGTATTTTTAGTAGACACTGGGTTTCACCATGTTGGCCAGGATGGTCTTGAACTCCTGACCTCAAGTGGTTTTGTCCGCCTTGGCCTTCCAAAGTGCTGGGATTATAGGCAGGAACTACTGCTCCCGGGAGATTTTGATTTTTAAAAGATTGCTCTGTGTACACTGGGCTGTCACAGGAGAGACAAGGCTGGTGCAGGGAGGTCAGCCAGATGAGAGCAAGTGAAGCCTCCAACCAGGGTCCTTGCCAGGGGTGGAGATGTTGGCTATGAAACAGATTTTGTCTATAGATCTGACAGGACTGTCAGATTAATAGGAAGGGACCACCGAGGACATAAGGCTTAGGCATAGCGTGTATTTTAGGACTGGAAACTAGTATTTAGTTGAGGATTTTCTTTTTCTTCTGTGGTGAAGAGGACCTCAACGAAAAGACAACAGAAAATAATGAGCAACGAGAAGAGATCATTCGCCTCAAGCAAGAGAAAAGTTGCCTGCACGATGAATTGGTTTTCACAGGTAAAACAGATGATTGAATGTATTTATAACCTACACCTGGTTTGATGACAGGCTAAAGGAATTATACCTCTCCCCCCCAAAAAATAAAATTTTTTTGAGACAGGGTCTCATTCTGTTGCCCAGGCTGGAGTGCAATGGTACGATCTCGGCTCACTGCAACTCTGCCTCCTGGGCTCAAGTGATTCTCCTGCCTCAGCCGCCCTAGTAGCTGGGGTTACTGGCGTGAGCCACCATGCCTGGCTAATTTTTGTATTTTTAGTAGAGACGGGGTTTCGCCATATTGGCCAGGCTGGTCTTGAACTCCTGACTGCAGGTGATCCACCCACCTCAGCCTCCCAAAGTGTTGGGATTACAGGCGTGAGCCACTGTGCCCAGCTTTTTTTGTCTGTTAAGTTTGTTTGTTATTTTCTGAGACGGAGTCTCACTGTCACCCAGGCTGGAGTGCAGTGGTATGATCTCGGCTCACTGCAACCTCCGCCTCCCAGGTTCAAGCAATTCTCCTGCCTCAGCCTCCCGAGTAGCTGGGCCACCACACCTGGCTAATTTTTGTGTTTTTAGTAGAGACGGGGTTTCACCGTGTTGGCCAGGCTGGTCTCGAACTCCTGGCCTTAGATAATCTGTCTGCCTTAGCCTCCCAAAGTGCTTGCATTACAGACGTGAGCCACCTCGCCCGGACTTTTTGTTTGTTTTTTAACACCCTTTGCAGGATCGATGGGAGACCAAGCAGCAGCTGTTAATGCTGACATCCTGTTCCCAGTCACTACTTCCTCTTCTGTAAAACGAGCTACTCTCCCTTCCAGCTTGAGTGTGTGACTCTGCTTCTCACTAAAAACATAACATAGATGCGCAGATGCTCCTTGACTTACAGGGTTACATTCCAATAAACCCCTCACAAGTAAAAAATGCATTTAATGAAGCTAACCTACTGACCAGCATTGCTCAGCCTAGCCTGCCTCAAACATGCACACAACACTCTCGTTAGCCTGCTGTTGGACAAAATCATCTCACACAAAGGCTGTTTCGTAGTAATAAATTATTTAATCGCTCATGTAATTTGTTGAATACGGAAAGTGAAAAACAGAACGGTTGTATAGGTGCTGAAAGTATGGGTTTTTTAATGAATGCATACCTCTAGAAAAAGGGGGCTTGCGGGTAGGTATGAGTAGACCAAAAAGTGTTCATATGATTTTCTCTTTGGAACTTTACCTCTAAGTCAATGACTTTCCTAACACAAACCACTGAAGGGAAAGCCCAGTACAGTCATCTTGGCTGGCAGGGATGTAACAAGCTATGTATGTCGGTCATTCTCAGTTAGGAGTGGAGAAGGAGGCCTTCACCACTGGAAGGTCTGAGATGCTGGGGGTAGGTAAGGAATATGGCAGGGAATGGAATGCAGTTTTTCTGTAAATTAATGGGAAAAACACATTATTACATTTAAGAATTTTTTTCCACTGGGTGCAGTGGCTCATGCCTGTAATCCCAGCACTTTGGAAGGCCAAGGAGGGCAGATCACGAGGTCAGGAGATTGAGACCGTCCTGGCTAACACAGTGAAACCCCATCTCTACTAAAAATACAAAACATTAGCCCGGCATGGTGGCACACGCCTGTAGTCCCAGCTACTCGGGAGGCTGAGGCAGGAGAATCGCTCGAAACTGAGAGAGGCGGAGGTTTCAGTGAGCCGAGATTGTGCCACTGCATTCCAGCCTGGGTGACAGAGCAAGACTCCACCTCAAAAAATAATTTTTTCCCAGAGACAAGCTCTCACTCTGTCACCTAGGTTGGAGTGCAGTGGTGTGATCACAGCTCACTGTAGCCTCAAACTCCTAGACTCAAGGAATCCTCCTGCCTTGGCCTCCCAAGTAGCCTGGTTACATTTTTTATTATTATTTTTTTCAGAGAAGGGGATCTCACTCTGTCATCCAGGCTGGTCTCTAACTCCTGGGATCAAGTGATCCCCCTGCCTTGGCCTCCCAAAGTGCTGGGATTACAGGTGTGAGCCACCATGCCCGGCCTAAGAAGTTTTAAGTAAAATGGAATACTTAATTTTAATCACTTGTGATTAAAAATGGGGGGAAAGTGCAGTATCCTGCCACTAGAGGTCACTATCTTCACCATTTCTAGGATTGCTGCATCTGCAAGTAATGATAACCGCTTATGCTACTAAAGCTGCATTCAAACAGTCCTCGGATCAGCATTTGTATCCCAGGCACCCTGGTATACGCTGGGAAGCTCACAGGCCCACAGAATTTACTACTACACAAATGCCATGCATAAAATGCTCTGGGAGGTCAAAGGAAAGAACAAAGCTTAAAGGATATGTTAGTCTCTTTTTGATTAATCACTTTTTACCCATCCACTCTGCTATGTATTACTAAGTAAAATACATGGAATTTGTTAGCTAATATAATACATCGATTTTGTGAAATATTTTTATTATGTGCTAAGCTGGATATGATATTCTTTACCCAGGCTGGAGTGTACTGGTACTGTAATAGTGGGGTTCAGGGTGCCCGCAGCGCCCCTGAGAGGACATTTCTCCAGGCTCTTGGTCGCCTGCCCTCTCAAGAATGAGAGTGGGGACCACGGCGCAGTGCGCAGTAAATGCCAGAAGGAGAGAGAAAGAAATAGTAACTCTCGCACCGAGTGAGAGAATCCAGAAAGACGGAATCCAGGAGAGGAAAGCAGCTTCCTCCCGGAGTGGAAGGGAATAGAGATGCAGTTTTGGAGGGGAAGACAGGATTCCACGAAGGGAGTGTTCGTGGAAGGGGATCCAAACATGGAGTCCCAAGGGATGTGGAAGAAGGGGACTTTTCACCTGGGAGGAACCCCCACCTTCTCTAAGACCCCAGGCCAATGAAAGGAGTTCCTTAGAACTTCTGCTGGAGTGATTGACTCTTAGTATCTTCCCTTGCCCGCGAAATTCAAACATAAACCGTTACATCTGTATGGAGAGAGATGGGAAGGGGGCATGGCGTTAGGAAGTTCTTGCCCTTAAAACTACGCCCCCTTGTGGACCCGGACAGAGAACACGTTCCCTCAGTACAATCACGGCTCACTGCAACCTCAAGCTCTGAGGCTCAAGCGATCTTCCCACCTTAGTCTCCCAAGTAGCTGGGACTACAGGCACATGCCAGCACACATGGCTAATTTTAAAATTTTTTGTACAGATAAGGTTCCACTGTGTTTCCCAGTCTGGTCTGGAACTGCTGGGATCAAGCGATCCTCCTACCTCGGCCTCCCAAGTGTTGGGATTACAGGCATGAGCCACTGCCCCTGGCATCCTAAATTGATTCCTTAAACATCTTCTCAGTTAAAGACAATCTCACACCGTTGTCTGAAAACAATTTTTGTATGTTTTATTCTTCATTTTCAAAATATAGACAATTGGTGGATTTGCGTGTTTTAATTATAAAAGTGAATAAAGCCTAAAAAATAATTTATTTATTTTGTAGAGATAGGGTCTTGCTCTGTTGCCCAGGCTGGAGTGCAGTGGTATGATCATAGCTCACTGCAGCCTCGACTATCTGGGTTCAAGCGATCCTGCCACTTCAGCCTCCTGACTAACTGGGATTATAGGCATGTGTCATCACACCTAGCTAATTTTTTATTTATTTTTTATTTATTTTTAGTAGAGACAGGGTCTCGCTATGTTGCTCAGTCTGCTCGTCCTGAACTCCTAGCCTCAGATAATCCTCCTGCCTTGGCCTCCCAAAGTACTAAGATTATAGGCATGAGCCACCATGCTTGGCCTAGGCCCAAAAAATAATTTTTAAAGGTATAATGTGATAATATGCTATCCAGTGGTTACCATATTTTTTTGGAGATGGAGTGTTGCCCAATTGCCCAGGCTAGAGTGTAGCAGTACAATCTTGGCTCACCGCAACTTCTACCTCCCGGTTTCAAGCAATTCTCGTGCCTCAGCCTCCCAAGTAGCTGGCACACGCCACCACACCTGGCTACTTTTTTGTACTTTAGTAGAGATGCGGTTTCACTGTGTTGCCCGGGCTGGTCTCGAACTCCTGAGTTCAGACTATCCACCCGGCTCAGCATCCCAAAGTGCTAGGATTACAGGTGTGAGCCACTGCAGTCAGTCAGATGTTAACACGTTTTATTTAAAGTTGGACGATGTCTTAAAGTTTTGCTTTTAAGTTCAAAACTTTTTTTTTTTTCATTGAAAATGTAGTTCTTTACATAGGCTCAGAGACATGTTTTGTTTGTACATAACTTGGAGTAAGGAGTCCGCAAAGAGAACAATGATACTAGTTTACATTTCATTTTTTGAGACAGAGTCTTACTCTGTTGCCCAGGCTGGAGTGCATTGGTGTGATCTCAGCTCACTGCAAACTCTGCCTCTCAGATTCAAGCGATTCTCCTGCCTCAGCCTCC